CCAAATCTACATTGTGCGAATGGCTCTATATATGAGTGCAGCATGAGTCTTTATGACAACATGCGTGGATGAGGGTGCTAATCCAGGTCAGTGCTGCTGGGCCTGTGCCAGTGTTTGAGTTGCGGCTGAGGTGAAGCTTTGGTGTGGTTGAGTCTCCCGTTCTTTGATGGGATGATGTCACATGTTAGTGATGTCACAAATTAATGATGTCACGTGCGGGTGGGTGCTTCAGAGTGGCTGTGCTGACTTTTCTTTGCTTGCAGACACATCCAAGACGGAAAAGATGCGGCCCGACAGGGAGAGATGAACAAAGCTTTGGAGCACTTCAAGATGGCCTACAACATTCACCGCAGTGACAAGCTCCAGAAGCGAATTGGGAAAATTGAGGAGTTTTTGGCACAGAACCTGGAGGATGAGAACGACGACGAGTATGTGGACGTCAACAAGAGCGGTCTAAAGCTGTACAAGGAGCTTTACGACAAACTGTACGACTACCAAAGGAACGGCGTCGCCTTTTTGTACAGCCTCTACAGGGACGGGCGCAAAGGTGGGATTTTGGCAGATGACATGGGCCTGGGCAAAACCATCCAGGTCATTTCCTTCCTGTCTGCAATGTATGACAACGAGTTGGTCAAGCACACCTTGCTGGTCATGCCCACCTCGCTCATCACCAACTGGATCAAGGAGTTTAACAAATGGACTCCTGGCATGCGGATCAAAGAGTTTCACGGCACCAGCAAGGCCGAGCGGACCAAGAACTTGGAGAAGGTCCAGAGGAGGAGTGGCGTGATCATCACCACGTACACCATGCTAATGAACAACTGGCAGCAGCTGTCGTCCTACCAGGGCCGCGAGTTCAAATGGGACTACATGATCTTGGACGAGGCCCACAAGATCAAGACCAGCACCACCAAAACAGCCAAGAGCGCCTCCGCCATCCCGTCCAAAAACCGAGTGCTGCTCACTGGCACCCCTGTCCAAAACAATCTCCGCGAGATGTGGGCTCTGTTCGACTTTGCCTGTCAAGGAACTCTGCTGGGCACGGCCAAAACCTTCAAGATGGAGTATGAAAACCCCATCACCCGCGCCCGGGAGAAGGACGCCACTCCGGGGGAAAAGGCCCTCGGGTCCAGGATGTCGGAGAACCTCATGGCCATCATCCAACCGTACTTCCTGCGCAGGACAAAGGCTGAAGTGCAGAAGAACAAAGACAACACGCGAGCCGCCGGACAGTCTCAGAGTGCAGAGGAGAAGAAGGAGAAGGAGTCTGATGATCAGAAGGACTGTGGGGTCAGCATGCCCACACTGACCAGGAAAAACGACCTAATTGTGTGGACGTACCTCAGTGGCATCCAGGAGGAGATCTACTGGAAGTTCATTTCTCTGGAACACATCAAGGAGCTGCTCATGACATCCAGGTCGCCTCTTGCCGAGCTGACCATTCTGAAGAAGCTCTGCGACCACCCGAGGCTTCTCTCTGCCAGAGCCACCTCCACCTTGGGTCTCAGGGAGGCTCGGCAGAGCGTCGACGACGATGAGATGGGCAGTCAGAGTATCGCCCACGTTCCCGATGACACTCTGATAGCCGAGTCCGGTAAATTGGCTTTCCTGATAGCTCTCCTCAAGCGTCTGCGGCATGAAGGCCACCGCACGCTGGTCTTCGCCCACTACAGGATGGTGCTGGACATCCTCCAGCGTATCCTGAAGAACCAAGGGTTCAAAGTCCTGCGGCTGGATGGGTCCATCACGCAGGTGGCGGAGCGAGAGCGACTCATTACCCTTTTCCAGACGGACAACAGCTACTCCGTCTTCCTCCTCACCACCCAGGTGGGTGGTGTCGGCATCACCCTGACGGCGGCTGACAGGGTGGTCATCTATGATCCCAGCTGGAACCCAGCGACCGACGCCCAGGCGGTGGACAGGGCGTACCGCATCGGCCAGACCAAGAACGTGGTCATCTACCGACTCATCACGTGCGGCACGGTGGAGGAGAAGATCTACAGACGGCAGGTCTTCAAGGACTCGCTGATCCGGCAGACCACTGGCGACAAGAAGAACCCTTTCCGCTACTTCAGCCAGCAGGAGCTGCGGGAGCTCTTCAGCCTGGAGGACACCAGGTCCTCCTCCACGCAGCTTCTGCTGCAGTCCCTGCACGCCAAACACCGAAGCACTGACCCCGACCTGGAAATTCACCTTGCCCATCTCCACGCCATGGACATGTTCGGAATCTCCGATCACGACCTCATGTTTTCCCTCAACGTGGACCTTGACGAGGACCTTCAGGACCAAGAAGAGCAACAGTACATTGAAGGGCGTGTCCAGAAGGCCCAGGAGCTGGTGAAGGCTGAGTCGCATCTGCATATGCAGTTTGCAACCATCTTGGAGTCCACGAACGAGCCAGCGCGGAGGCGAAAGTCGGCGAGTGAGCGTGAAGAACCCTTGAAGGAGAAGAAATCTGGCAAGCGCAGATCCAGTCTCACATGTTCGCCACGCCACAGCAGTTCGTCACCGGCCCGGGTGGACCCAGAACGAGCGAGTGACAGCAAGGAGGGTCCAATCGATCTCACTCGGGATGAAAGCTGGTCTGCAGGGAATCAAGAAAAGCTCCTAAAGGAAGCGAGTCAGGAAGGAGGAGGTAAGGGGAGTGCTGCTGATGATGGAGAAGTCGGAGCCTTTTCCAAGGGAGTAAGGAGAGTTCCTCCGGATGCTTCGATCCACATCAGCGACAACGAAGACCTGAACAACTCAAATTTGGACGGCAGTCCGATGAAACCCTTCCAGAGCAAAAGACTTTCCGCCCTGCAGTCGTCCTCGTCCAGTTTAAGAAACGACTCCTGGTCGCGAGTTAGCGCCAGCGGCTCAGAGCTGATAGAAGGGAACTTCAACCTACAGTTGGAGGAGAGCGAGCTCTCCTACCAGGATGAAGAGAAGAAGCGTCAGTCCCAACTGCGGCTGGGGGAGAAAGACATCCTGTACCAGGATAAGGAAACGAAGCTCCTGTCCCCAATTCAGCTGGACAAGGAGAGCGACATCCTGTACCAGGATAATGATGATGATGAGGAGGAGGAGAAGCTGCTGTCACAGCTCCAGATGTCAGGAACCTTCGATGTGGGCAAATCCCTGACGGAGAGGCAGCTCGGACTCAGCATGAAGTCCAACGTCTCCGATACGGACGGGTCTCTTATCGCCACTACCAAGAGGAAGAAGATAGTGCCCATCATTTATGACAGCGAAGAAGAAGAAGAAGTAGAGGTGGTGGTGGGCGAGGAGGTCATACCGCAGTCGTCGAAGGCTGCGTTCAAAAACCTGCCGCCGCATGGATCGTCCACGCCCAAATCCACGCCGTTCATCGGCTCTAGAAAGAGCGTCCGTGGAAATGTGTCGGTGGCGTCACGCCGCTCCTTCGTGCGCTCTATCCTCCAAGACGGCAAGAGCAAGGAGCGTTCAGCCAGGTCTTCTGACGAGTGCGGGCAGGAAGATGCGAGCGCTCGGACGGAGGACACCACCGGAGAGCCGCTAAATTCAGATGAAGAAGTCGTCGAAGAGGAAGAAGTGGAAGAAGTGGAGGAGGAGGAAGAGGAGGAGTTGGATCCCCGGAGCAGTCACCTGGAAGAGTCAACCAGTGAGCCCGAGCTGACGTCCTCCGAGAGGTTCGAGCAGTGTGCCGCCAAGGCCGGGGTGGAGTGCGTCGACGCCTATGAGTCGCTGGTGACGCGAGGCCGCGAGTCGTTCAACCGAGGGCAACTCGGCGAGGCTCTGGATTTGTTCCTCAAGGCTCTCGACATCAGGCCCGGAGACCCTGAAATCCAGTCCTTGACCATCCAGCTGTACAGACAGCTCAGTCGCTCATAATAGGAACTCTCCTCAGAACTCTGACGTGTTCAAATGTTCAGGACATACATATTTGGTGTTTTAGTTGGTTTCAAAACAGACTGCTCGTCTTCTACAAAATGAGCGGATAAGATTTGTCATCTGACAGGAAAGAGCTCATGACAAAAAAATAAAAGCATTTTGTATGGTTCCAACTGTAGCCTTGGTGTTCTTGAAAATCGCCAAGGGTCTGGTGACTAATTTGGATTCCTAATATCGTGGACCACCGCATGCTTGCGGTTTGGTGGCCACAGAGCCTCCTATTCATGGATTTGGTTTTCAGTTTCTTAAAAAAATTTTACAGATATTTTTCCACCAATACAACAAAATTTATCCCATGGAACATTTTCTATGCATTTATTATGGCTGTCAATTATATGCAAATTTTCACTACTCACAGGCCAGCTTGCTCCCTATACCCCATGTAAGCAGGTAGCAACTGTTTACCCACTTTTTTGGTACTTGTATTCAGTTCATGATGCAAAACACTTTTCAAATAACTTCTACACTTTCTGTGATGTCACATAGGCCATGTAGGAGGTTGGCGCATTGGTTTGTTCCGGGGCTCATTGAATGTTCGAATTGGTGATCCTTATGACCTCAACCACCAACAGGGCAGACAAACTACTACTGATATCTTGTGATCGGACATGATGACTTTCTAGGAATGTTGCATAGTATTATTTGAACCTGTAAACACTGACAGGAATTAATAGAAATTAAATTTTGCATGCTGCTGTTTATTAATTAGCATGACAATATTAATATGTGAGCAAATGTGTAATTTCGGAGATGTGTATCAAATTGGGGGCCCATTGAACTAATCAGGAGCCAAGAAGTAGCTCTTACTTTCAAAAAGGTTTTATGTACCAACTGCTAACATTGTTCTCCATTTGATATAAGAAATTACTGTGTTGGTGCTTCATCCATGAATTTAGTAAAGTAAAGAGTACATTAAATGAAAATGTAAACACATCTATTCCAAAAGAGGACTGGACATCTTATTTTGAAGGCCCGTTCGGCAATGCCCGGGGGAGGAAGGGGGCTGTGCTCGACGCTTTCCGGAGAAGATGAATGTGACGTCACGTCAGGACCGGTTGTGTGTTGGGTCGCAGGGCGACGGCTGCCCAATGGGACGTATGTTTTTGGCTGCATACACACGCCAAAAACCACCAGCACGGGACGGAAAGGCCAAATCCTCGCCGTTCATCGGCTCTAGAAAGAGCGTCCGTGGAAATGTGTCGGTGGCGTCACGCCGCTCCTTCGTGCGCTCTATCCTCCAAGACGGCAAGAGCAAGGAGCGTTCAGCCAGGTCTTCTGACGAGTGCGGGCAGGAAGATGCGAGCGCTCGGACGGAGGACACCACCGGAGAGCCGCTAAATTCAGATGAAGAAGTCGTCGAAGAGGAAGAAGTGGAAGAAGTGGAGGAGGAGGAAGAGGAGGAGTTGGATCCCCGGAGCAGTCACCTGGAAGAGTCAACCAGTGAGCCCGAGCTGACGTCCTCCGAGAGGTTCGAGCAGTGTGCCGCCAAGGCCGGGGTGGAGTGCGTCGACGCCTATGAGTCGCTGGTGACGCGAGGCCGCGAGTCGTTCAACCGAGGGCAACTCGGCGAGGCTCTGGATTTGTTCCTCAAGGCTCTCGACATCAGGCCCGGAGACCCTGAAATCCAGTCCTTGACCATCCAGCTGTACAGACAGCTCAGTCGCTCATAATAGGAACTCTCCTCAGAACTCTGACGTGTTCAAATGTTCAGGACATACATATTTGGTGTTTTAGTTGGTTTCAAAACAGACTGCTCGTCTTCTACAAAATGAGCGGATAAGATTTGTCATCTGACAGGAAAGAGCTCATGACAAAAAAATAAAAGCATTTTGTATGGTTCCAACTGTAGCCTTGGTGTTCTTGAAAATCGCCAAGGGTCTGGTGACTAATTTGGATTCCTAATATCGTGGACCACCGCATGCTTGCGGTTTGGTGGCCACAGAGCCTCCTATTCATGGATTTGGTTTTCAGTTTCTTAAAAAAATTTTACAGATATTTTTCCACCAATACAACAAAATTTATCCCATGGAACATTTTCTATGCATTTATTATGGCTGTCAATTATATGCAAATTTTCACTACTCACAGGCCAGCTTGCTCCCTATACCCCATGTAAGCAGGTAGCAACTGTTTACCCACTTTTTTGGTACTTGTATTCAGTTCATGATGCAAAACACTTTTCAAATAACTTCTACACTTTCTGTGATGTCACATAGGCCATGTAGGAGGTTGGCGCATTGGTTTGTTCCGGGGCTCATTGAATGTTCGAATTGGTGATCCTTATGACCTCAACCACCAACAGGGCAGACAAACTACTACTGATATCTTGTGATCGGACATGATGACTTTCTAGGAATGTTGCATAGTATTATTTGAACCTGTAAACACTGACAGGAATTAATAGAAATTAAATTTTGCATGCTGCTGTTTATTAATTAGCATGACAATATTAATATGTGAGCAAATGTGTAATTTCGGAGATGTGTATCAAATTGGGGGCCCATTGAACTAATCAGGAGCCAAGAAGTAGCTCTTACTTTCAAAAAGGTTTTATGTACCAACTGCTAACATTGTTCTCCATTTGATATAAGAAATTACTGTGTTGGTGCTTCATCCATGAATTTAGTAAAGTAAAGAGTACATTAAATGAAAATGTAAACACATCTATTCCAAAAGAGGACTGGACATCTTATTTTGAAGGCCCGTTCGGCAATGCCCGGGGGAGGAAGGGGGCTGTGCTCGACGCTTTCCGGAGAAGATGAATGTGACGTCACGTCAGGACCGGTTGTGTGTTGGGTCGCAGGGCGACGGCTGCCCAATGGGACGTATGTTTTTGGCTGCATACACACGCCAAAAACCACCAGCACGGGACGGAAAGGACAAAAGAAACCACAAGAAACACCACGGGGAATTCCTAGCCAAGACAAAATCGCGCGTTCGGGATTGTTCGGGGGTCTCCGCTCGGACACAAACTTCGGCTCTTTCCGGATAAGTCGAAAGTGACGTCACCTCGGTGGAACGTTGTCGAAGTGTGTTCGCAGGTCGAACGGTCGGTTTGGTTCGGGTTCGAATCGACGCCCAAAGGCCAACGAGACGGAACCGCCTCGCTTGGACTTTAATGGCCACGCGGAGGGAGAACACGGCTGGATACGGCTGAGGAGTGGGAGGCGACACGAGAGCTCCCAGCGACCGTCGGCATTTCACGAAGGAGCAAGAGGTCGAGTCCGAAAGACGAAGATGATGGTGATGGCTTTGAGTGGACGAAGAGAAATGCTGCTGGAAATCTGCTGTTTGCTGCTTCTGATGACCGGAAGTGGACAAAGTGGAGGTGAGGATGAGGCGGAAGTCGACTGCTCACTCTCATGGCTGCTTTACACGCACGGGGGGGGGGGGGCAAACTAATTTTTTTGTCGGGGGCCATATTTTAGTTACCGTTTCCCTTGGAGGCACATTTGACAATGAAGTTGACTTGAAAATTGAAACTTGAAACTTATGACTGAAACAATATGAAGAAGTCAAGAATAACGGTTTACTCCACTTTTGTTTCGGTTCCTGTCATGACGGGTTTGGTTACAAGAAAATGCTTACAATATCCTTCTTATTTATTACAGATGAGAATTTTAAATTTTGGTACAGATTTTACCCAGCATCATGGGAGTTGACATGTTTGATTTGCTCTTGCGGGCCACATAAGATGCAGTGGTGGCCCGGATCTGGCCCCCGGGCTTTGAGTTTGACACCTGTGTTCTAGAAGCTTCTTGGATGCTCAACTTCACGTTAATTTGGGATGTTTTTGATCTACCACGAATTGCCTTGCAGACAACATTATGTTCACACTCTGCCCTCTCTTGGTTTGGGGTGTATGTGACATGCGGCACCATCCATCTATCCATCCATCCATCCATCCATCCATTTTCTAATCCGCTTATCCTCACGAGGGTCGCAGGTGTGCTGGATGCTTCTCTGAGACTCAAACAGCAATCCAAGACTCTCCCACCCTGATAGGTGCTGAGTGGGCTGCCCCCTATATGTCGAGTCTGCAGCTCTGTTTTAATCCCCCCAAAACATCCCTTTTCTCTCTGTATTTCTGCACTTCACCACCAAATGACAACATTTGGCGTTAGCCCACTGTAGGCTTTCAGAGAAGGTGCGTGCTGTCTCGCTGTCACCTGACGGCTTAAGCGGCTTGGCTTAACTTAGCTTAACTTAGCACGGCCTCGCTCCCGGCAGGAGGTCAATCGTCTGTCTGTGTGTGTTGTTTAACCATGCATGCAGTTTGTGTGTGTACTGGCTGAGCAAAGATGCTAAGTGTGTTTTTGTTCGTGTCATCCAGACTCCCAGCAGACGCAGCATCTGTCCTCCTATCAGTTGACGTTGCCTCGCCCAATAGGAGGCCGGTGGAGGCGGAACGCCGACGGCTCGCCGCCCAATCAGGTGCAGAGATTTCACTCGTTTTTTTTTTTTACGTGTCTCTGGGTGTGAGTGTGAGCGAGACTGTGTGACCTCTGAACTCTGTAGTACACGCTGAGCATTTGATCAACTGACGCACCCACATCCTGCCACCTCTCCCGCTTCCTGTCATTGCAACGATGACTTCCTGTCGGCAAGTTGTTGATGACGATGATTATTTGACAGCACGATGTCATTGGCAGTTCTTTGACTTTCAGTTGAGGGAGGAGGAGTCGGCGTCTTTCCTGACACACTCATTCACACAACAAAGATCCACGCGCATAACACGCACACAGACAGACACATTTAATAAGGTCCTGCAAACCTACGCACAAACCACTTATGCCAGACACACACTCACACACCTCAGAGACTCATACACACACACACACTCACACACACACACACACACACACACACACACACACACACACACACACACACACACACACACACACACACACATACAAAATGCTGCTGCGTCGGCGTTTCCGCACTTAGTGATGTAGCATGAAGGAATGTTTGATTCTTGTTCTGGGACACGTTCATGCACACAGGAAGTTGTAATGATGTCGTCATGACTGAGACAGGAAGTGAGAGTGAAAGTGCACGTGGGGCTGAGGCCATGTGACCCGGTGGTCATGTGATCAGGTTTTTCTGGCGAATAACCACGAGTGTGTGTGTGTGTGTGTGTGTGTGTGTGTGTGTGTGTGTGTGTGTGTGTGTGTCTCACTTCCCGTTGCAGGTGTCGTACGCCATCGACGTGTCGGGACGCCGCCACGTGGTTCATCTGGAGCGGAACCGGTGAGTTGGCATGAAAGGTTTCGATAGCATCCAAAGCATTTGGTGTTTGTGTCAGGATGTTTTCAAATGTAATTCTTCTTCTTTTTTTGGGGGGGGAGAAAAATTTTATATGTATTTTTATTTGTTTTCCACAAAAACATGTAATTTCTTTAACAAAAATGTCACAAAATGCTAAAAATAATGTCAAGTTTTAAAAAGAAGTGAAAATGTTTTTCGTTCAGGTGAAAAGGCCCATTTTTGGCAAGCAAGTTTCAGAAACAGTTTTTTTTTAATGGCAAAATGTCACAATTGTTGAAGGCCAACTTAAGTCGAAAATTACCTTTCCAATATGTTGCATGCGCCCCCACTAGTCTTAACATTCGGAAACATTTTGGAGAATATTGCAGAAAAATCGACCCACTTCGATCCAACTCAGGGGGCGGCCATTTTGCCGCTTGCTGTCCACTGAAAATGACATCAAATGCTGTGTTGAGACAAGTAGGGGCACACAAAAAAAAAATATTGTCAAGAAAAATTGTATCTTGACGTAAGCTTTAAGAATCATTTGACAATCGTTTTCACTTTATAACAAATTAGGATTGTATGCTAGCTTGACGTTAAACTGGCTTTGTACAGTAAGTTTCCCATTTTCTATTGCCATCTTGTCTGAGACGCGTTCGCATCCGGCGCACCGACACGAGCAGACGGCGTGTTGCCGCCACGCGCTTTTTATCAGCGTGTTCCCGCTACGCGCTGATAAAAAGCGTCAAACGAGATTGTTAGCTCTGTCTCGCTGACCTCCAACTTGTGTTTTTTATCTTCTTCATTGAAGCAAGCGAACTGTTTTCTTCTTTCGCTGTCAACTATGTCCCTCGGATGGCGGCGCGTGTCGTGCGTGAGCTCGCTAAATGACAAAACAAATTGACCTTCTTGTTTTCAGGATGCTGCTGCCTGCCGACTTCAAAGTGTTTACGTACGCGCAGGACGGACAAATCGTCACGACGACGCCGGCCGTCCAGGTACCACACACAATCTCACTCCCAGGCGCGCACTAACACGTCAAACCAACTTTGGACACTTAATTCTGTGTGTGTGTGTGTGTGTGTGTGTGTGTGTGTGTGTGTGTGTGTGTATAGAATCATTGTCATTTTCAGGGCTCTGTTGAAGGCATGGAGGGATCGTCTGTCGCCATGAGTATTTGTAACGGCCTCAGGTAGCACACACACATTGATGTCATTGAGGCAGATGTAACACACATGCCTGCCGATCACTTTTCGTGTGTCTGTTTTGCATATTTCTGCCGACTTAGGTTTTCAGTTTGCAATAATTGTTGCGTTGTATCGTGTGCGGGTGCGTCATGCGGCAGGGGCGTGCTGCATCTCGACGACGACAGCTATGCCATTGAGCCTCTCGACTCCGCCCCCGAGCAGCACCTGCTGTATCGCCTACAGGATGTGACATCGCAGCCCCGTGGATGCGGGACGCCACATCGCCACCACGGTCACAACCACACGGAATATACGCACTTCGGAGAGCGACAGGAGATCCGCCAGCATGGCAGGGTGACCGCACGCATTGATCAGTTGAATTCATTGAGCAGTTTGAACAACTGCAAAATCGGTGCTAGTTTTATTAGCCCATCTTGGGAGTTTCCTATTATGTGTTAGCATGAAGCTCGCGGACATTCCTAACATATGTGTAGATAACTCATTGTTCGCTGCTCATGACAAACGAAAAAAAATCATCCAGCAAAACCGTATACCTCCAAAAACTCATACATCTAGCTACTTTTAAGTTGTGGAACCACTTTACACCTAACACACTAACTCTGTGCGCTCTCCAGGTGAAGCGAGACATTCTCCATCGCACACACTACGTGGAACTCCTGCTGGTGGTGGACAATGACAGGGTGAGGCACATGCACACGCACACCAGCAAACGGAGGCACACACCTGCGTAACCATACATCGATTCAATATAATAAATCTGGTCATGATGACATAACCTGCAATTATTCCTTCCGCCAGTACAACACCATGAACAGGAACGAGAGCGCGGTACGCGAGGAGATGGTTCATTTGGCGAACATCATCGATGGCGTGAGTAGACGCAAGCGCGCACACGCACGCGCATACCCGCACTGAATTGGTGTTGTGTGCGTGTGCAGATCTACACGCAGATTAACGTGCGGGTGGTCCTTGTGGGCCTCGAGATCTGGACCAGGCAGAACCTGATCAGCACGGAGGGGGTCGCCGGTGAGGTGCTCAGTCGCTTCACCCAGTGGAGAGAGAAGGAACTGCTGCCCCGTCGACGACACGACTCGGCGCAGCTCATCTTGTGAGTGTGAACGTGCGCGCACGCACACACACTCATTCATACTGACGACGACGATGGCCATGATGCAGGACGAAGAGTTTTGGGGACACAGCGGGGATGGCGTTTATCGCCACCGTCTGTTCGAGAACTCATGGTGGTGGAATTAACGCGGTACGTTTGTGAAAATACATATAAATGTTTTTGTTTGTTTGCTTGTTGTTTTAACACGCAGCTAACACATGTACAGGTAACACAGACACACTTGCAACACAACACGTATATCTAGGTAACTAGCACGTGTACTCGTAACGCACATTCAGGTAATATGCACATGCAGTATGTTATAATAACACCTATATTCAGGTAAATAACACACACATACTGGTAAGACATACAGGTAATGTACACAGGTGACACACATACATATGTACAGGTAACCAATGCACAGGTAAAAAAAAAAAAATAAAAATACATCACGCATGCAGTTGATACAAATCACATGCAAACACACATACAGGTAACACGTACGCATTTGTAGGTAACATGCTCACTTCCCGTATGACTCTTTGTAGTTCACGAACAACAACGTGTTCGCCTTCGCCTCCATCGTGGCCCACGAGCTCGGTCACAACCTCGGCATGAACCACGACGACAGCCGGGCCTGCACGTGCCCCACGCAAGCGTGTATCATGAACTCCGGCGCCACGTAAGGCACGCAACACGCACACACCCACTCATACGCACACACACACAAAACGGACACGCACACGGCTACACTCGTAGTGACAGATGGTGCTGCGTTGTGTTGTGGCGTCAGAGGTTCCCGAAACTTTAGCAGCTGCAGCGCCGACGACTTTGAGAAGATGCTGCTGCACACGGGCGGCTCGTGTCTCCTCAACGTGCCGCGGCCCGATGAGGCCTACAGCGCCCCCTACTGTGGAAATGGCTTGCTCGACTTCGGGGAGGAGTGCGACTGCGGATCGCAACAGGTCGTACTCGTGGCACAAGCGTTATGTCCTGCGTGCATGTTGTTTGTGCTTGTGTGTAACTGGGTGTGAGTGTGTCCCCATGAGCGAGAGAGAGAGAGAATTTGTGTGTGTGTGGGGGTTGGGGGGGGGCAGTCACACAATTCCGTGTGTATTTGTTGCGAGCTGATGTACTTGCACTTGTGACAGGAGTGCGAGAGCGACCCCTGCTGCGAGTTTAAGACGTGCAGACTGAAGCCAGGAGCTGAATGCGCCACTGGCGAGTGTTGCTACAACTGTCGGGTACTCTCATCACAGGAAGTCATCGCCGCAATGGTTGCATGGCGGCCGTCATGTCACGTGTGTGTGCTCGTGTGTAGTTCCAGCCCGGCGGGACGGTTTGTCGCGCCAGCACAGATGAGTGCGACCTGCCGGAGTTCTGCAACGGCTCCTCGTCTCTCTGTCAGAGCGACGTCTTTGTGCAGGTCGGTGCATGTGTGTGTGTGTGTGTGTGTGTGTGTGTGTGTGTGTGTGTGTGTGTTTTTGTG